GATATTTTATACCCAAAATATGACACTTTTTAGTGCTAAAAAGGTCACACAATAATTCATGCGCATTAATTTCCATGATTTATTCAATGATAAATATTATTCGAAGTATTTTACTTAAAATAAGAATATATTTATTGTCATAATTACATCTAAATATGAATTTCATTACTTTGATGTATTTTCATACAAGATGATAAAGTACAACAATTTGTACAAAAATCAACACTAACTTTAATAACATTTAATAATGTTTTAGCATCTTTATTAATAGGGATTATAACGAAGTCGATTGTGTCATGTTACATGTTCCCTGCATCCCCTTAATTAAATACATTAAGCGCTCTTTTTACAAACACATCTCGATTTGTCTGGGATCAAAACATTTGAACAGGTTAACAGGATTTAATGAAATAAAAATATTCATATTGCAGACTAACAAACACAGTTTTAAACAATGTTTAATATCAGATCTAAACATGTGATATAATACAACTATAATTTTCATCATATAGAACAAAATTCTTCGTATGATATATTAATTAAACACAATTTTTTTTTATAATTTTGATATTTTATTTCGCGCGGAAATGTGAGTTAATATATTAGAAAATTAAAAATTTTATAAATACTTCATAATGTCTAATTTCTATATAAAACAATTTTTCTAGCTGGTGTTTTAGTCATGTACAAAGAAAACACAATTGACTTTTCTGTGTGAACAAATGTATACATTTAATATTTCTTACAGTTAATAACATTATTAAGCATGAAATATTATAAGAAAAATCCAGTTGTAGCTTAGAAAGGAGTTCTTCCTCTTTGTTTGGTATGATATACTGGTTGTGTTTTAACATCCAATATCAAAGCATTGTGTACCGATTAAGATTTTTTAAGAAAACGCCATTGACTTTTTTTGCCAAAAAAGCTTTAAATTCATAATAAAATAAAGCTTTCCAAGGAGAAATTTCAGAAATACCAGGATCAGTATGGGTTTCAGTGTTGTAGATGCTTGTTAATACCAAGAGTAGCTAAAAAAAATACTTTTAAGTATTGCCTAAGTATGGATTGATATTATTTTTACATGCAATATCTTAAAAAATATAACTATAAGGTTAAAATGCATGTAATATGTAAGTTTGACTTTGTCATTACTACATATAGATTTAAAAGTTTGTCATCACTACAAACATGTATAAATTTAAGTTTGTCATTTCTAAATATTAACTTAATATAGTTTTAGATGCTTTTAAAAACGCCTTTTAGTTTATATGCCCTATAGTATTGCATATGCTAAAATGAAAATTGATTACAAAGAAAATGTGTTCAATATATTAACTATTTAAGCTCTTGATAAACATGCGCCGCATCGCCATCGTTTTCTTTCCCATCTGAAGTTATGAATGTTACATCTCCGTGCACATAATGAGCAGAATTGTGTTTCCCTTTCTTTATTTTGCTTTTACACTTCTTTCTACAAATAGATCATTTAAATGGGGAAATTGATTCAGCAATTTGAGGATTTGAGGACTTTAAAAACAAAGATGATTTCTTCTATGAAACGTGATTTTTTTTTATGTGAAATTCTCCTATCTATATTGACTTGTAAAAAACATTTCAAATTTCAACTTATTTCAAATTTCAGAATAAAAATAAAGACCCTACCTGTAGAATATTAACACACAGTTTATACCTAAGATTGTAAACCCTACTATTGTACTGCTTGACAATCCATATATCCAAGCCTTTAAGTATGCGATATATGCCTTCTGTGCTGCAATATATGATGAAAGTTATATGACAATATATGACAATATATATATATATATATATATATATATATATATATATATATATATATATATATATATATATATATATATATATATATATATATATATATATAAAGCATTTTTTTTTATTTATCTTCTTTAGTTTATTAAGGATTTAAAAAGATAGCTGGAAATACCACATAAATTATACTTACCAAATATATCACATTTCGACCCAATATAGGACTCCGTACATCCTTGAGGACAAAAACCTGTGACCGAATCACAAGATGTATTCTTGGAACAGTGTCCCGTGCACATGTAATGACAGTTCTTACCATAAAATCCCGGAAAGCATCCTTAAACGAAGATGTAAACAGATTATTGAATGTAATAAGGTTGATTGTTAGTATGATGTTCTTTAATTGTTTATTTGTAGATAATGCTATGACAATATAGTATTTTTATAGTATTTTTAACATTGATTAAATATCTGGCTTGTAAAGTAATCCTTAACATTTAGGAACATTATTTAAATAGCATGTATGCCATTTTGACTGTAGTTTTGTTGTAAACTCTAATGAGCATAATCTATCTACATTTAAATTTCAAGAGTCTAATATACATTCTGTAAATTTAAAAAAAAAATGAAGAATATCATGAGGACTGTATCGCAAGTAACAAAAAGCTATTAGATTTAACAAGAGTTGTTGCTCCTGCTACACGTTTCTACACGTCTCTATTAGGGAAATAAAGAATATTCTGTAGAAATGTGCTCTCATGTGTTAAATGTATCAACATCACGTGATTCATAGGTATACATTATAAACTGAGTAAAAAAACAGACCTGATGGAAACGCATAGAAGAAAGATGAAAATACATTTAGCTACACCTTTTCTCGCCAACAATCATTTATGACAATGATATTTAACACCAGAATAATGACAAAAATAAGGGTACCACAGCAATCTGATAGCAATAAATTTTGGGCTTTTGATCTTTGATCAGTGTCCCGAGAATCTATAGGACGTTTTTTGTGTGTTTGAAGAGAAGTCTGCATGTGACAAATACCAAATTTTCGTGCCAGAAAAGTGTGACCAGTAAAAAAATAAATCATTTCGACCTCGACATTGGAATGAAAATTTCAAAGATACTTTTGTTCCTCTTACTATTTTTCAACAACGTAGAAAATACCAGCATGGTTAATTTGCTGCATCACCTATGATAGTAAATTTCGAGTAACCTGACTTGCAAATGTAGCCCCCTTTTATTCCATCACCTAAAGTCAATTTAACCAAATAATTTACCGGCATGCAATGTACATTGTACATGGCACCTATTTCTAACCAGGTGTTCAAAACGGTTGAAGCATGAAGGAAATATCGATAATCTCCACCTTTGATATTAAACCTTGACCCTATTCCATCAGTATGTAGGTATCTGTTCTACTGCATCACAATGGTCATGATAATATTAACTTTGACCCTGACTTTAACATGTAACCACTTGACAACATATCTTCAGATATCTCTGTATATATACTACACTAGTTACATGTATTAGAAAGTCAGTAGGACACACATGACATTGCATCACAGAAATGTGTAACGATCATTGTAATAGTAAATATATGACATTTGACTTTAATTAATGACCAGGTGTCATTCCATCAATCAAAATGATGTGTCCGTCTTTACCCATCGTCCATTTTTGTGGTAAGTATAAAGTATATATAGTTAAAGGTACTCTTAAGTTAAGCGTCACTTAATAGTGTTGATGGAGAGATGGGTCAATAGGCAGATTGCTAGACGAACAGACAAAGACAAACTGTTGCAGATATAACGCCATTTTGGCAAACACAATTTGTCGTTAGGTTGAATCTTGGCTGTCATCTATCATGCAAATTGTTAGGTCATTATTTTCTGTTCATTATTTACTGAACTGACCACAAATTTAACTGTTTATCTGATCACGAAAGTGCATACGGCTGACGTAGCATGATTTTAAAGGCTGCCAACAATTTGTATTGTTGAAATGGACCCTTGAGCATGACTATTGTTTGTTATCTTCGTAATTAACTGCGACAGTTATAACAATTATAATACAATCATATCTTGGTGCGGCTCCCTAATGAAAATTGACTATTTTTATCTGCAAATTTATTTATCAATAGCATATTAAATGATTATTATTTTTTTTTACAATTTTGTTAACTTATATAAACTTTTTTTTTTTTTTTAGAATTTAAAGGCACAAATAAGGCATAATTATATAAGGAAATAAATTTGACAAAAGAAAACACAAAATATTTAAAAAAGCCAAAAAAATATTTATTTTGTATAGATTTTTACTTCCTTTGTACATTTATCTGATCATACGTTAGAATTTAATTGTAATACTTTTTTCCTTATTAAATCTATGTCATTTATAAATTAGACTGCATTATTACGTAACCTGGTCATTTTCGGTAATAAATGCCAAGTTGAAAAAACTAGCTGATTATTTTATTACTATCGGTGAGCTCCTTAAGTAAGTTTCTTCTTCCTCTGCGTGAGAATACAGGAAGCATTGTGTTTATTCTGTTGAACTGCGTATTTAAATTTAAAGTAAATCACTCCCCTTCCTGACACTGTAAAGGGCGTTTATTTCCCTGATAGATTTCCTGTTCTTGAAAATCACTGTTTACTTCAATGCTTGAATTACTTTAACATGTTCATCAGAGTTTTTATAAATGTATATTTCCTTGTCAGAACAATAATTCAGCAGAAAAATGATATAAAGTTTCCCTTTTTATTATTATCATTCAATGAAAACCTTGACTAGGCCCCAGGATCATGACACATCTTAAGCTTAAGTAAAGAAAAAATGCATGTTGCGCTACAATGCTTTAGAAATGAAGCAGTCCAAAATGAAAATGCTTTTTCACTTTGCTTCAATAAACTGCTTTCGCATGGAAATTGAGAGTTTCGGTTCACAAGTAATAAACATTTAATGGATGATTGAAATTCAGTTTCATGATCCCGGGGCCAGATCATTTACAGAACTTCACGGATAGTTTCATACGGGAAAAGTATACCATAATGAAAACAAATAACAAGACATTTTTTAAAAGTCTAAAATTTCAGTTAACATACAATAAAAATAAATGTCAAAACATTTCACTTAATTTGAAAAATATCCTCAATTTTTTTTTTTTTTTTTTTTTTTTTTTTTTTTGATTTCCTAATCTATCGATTCATGAAGTATGAAACACAAAAATCTACCTATAAAATTTCAACAAAAGTTATACAAAGACAATACTTTTGTGTTCATTTGTCAAATAAGTGTTTCTTTTAATAAATTGCATATTTCTTGGCTATTGATTTATCTTTGGTGACGTCTTCTATGCCTGGAAGTAGCTAACGTTTGAAATAAGATTCAATTGTTTCGATGCTGGAGTTGGAAATTAAATAAACAATAAGAATAACACGTCCTGTAAGTATGTCAATTTAGCAAACAATCCTTTAACAGTTTGCATAAACGGTGTCATTCTGTAAATATTCGGTCAGAGCATCGTGGCAGAGTTGATATTCATCCTACAATTAAATGAAAATTTCATCTCACCAAATTGAAATTAAAAACAAGATGTGTTTGTGAAACACTATGCCCCCGTATGGCAGCTTATGTCGAAGGTTAAAGTTTCTCAAATGTAAGTCAAAATCCAGGCAAAAAGATAAAAAATGTTGATACCCAAAGAAAGATCTTGTCTCGAGGAAAACACCTGTGGAATTTGAAAGACCTAGATACAACTGTTCAAAAGTTATGGTGAAGGTTAAAGTTTTTTAAATAAAAGTCAAACGTCAAGGTCAAGGTCAAAGTGGTTGGTATCCAAAGGAAGATCTCGTCACAAGGATTATATATGTGAAGTATGAAAGCCCTAGCACCAACCATTCAAAAGTTATGGCCAAGGTTAAAGTTTTTCAAAAGTAGGTCAAACTCCTAGGTCAAGGTCAAAGGGTCAAAGTGGTTGGTATCCAAAGGAAGATCTCGTCACAAGGATTACATATGTGAAGTATGAAAGCCCTAGCACCAACCATTCAAAAGTTATGGAAAAGGTTAAAGTTTTTCAAAAGTAGGTCAAACTTCTAGGTCAAGGTCAAAGGGTCAATGTGGTTGGTATCCAAAGGAAGGTCTTGTCACAAGGATTACATATGTGAAGTATGAAAGCCCTAGCATCAACCATTCAAAAGTTATGGCCAAGGTTAAAGTTTTTCAAAAGTAGGTCAAACTCCTAGGTCAAGGTCAAAAGGTCAAAGTCGTTGGTATTCAAAGGAAGGTCTTGTCACAAGGATTACATATGTGAAGTATGAAAGCCCTAGCTCCAACCATTCAAAAGTTATGGCCAAGGTTAAAGTTTTTCAAAAGTAGGTCAAACTCCTAGGTCAAGGTCAAAAGGGTCAAAGTGGTTGATATCCAGAGGAAGGTCTTGTCACAAGGAATACACATGTGAAGTTTGAAAACCTAAGCACCAACTGTTCAAACTTTATGGCCAAGGTTAAAGTTTTTCAAAAGTAGGTCAAAGTCCAAGGTCAAGGTCAAAAGGTCAAAGTGGTAGGTATCCAAAAGAAGGCCTTGTCACAAAAAATGCACATGTGAAGTTTGAAACCCCAAGCTCCAACTGTTCAGAAGTTATGGCCAAGGTTAAAGTCTCATAAAATTTTGCAAAAGTGGGTCAAACTCCAAGGTCAAGGTCAAAAGGTCAAATATGATGGTACCCAAAGAAAGGTCTTGTCACAAGGAATACACATGTGAAATATGAAAGTCATAGCTCCAACCAATCAAAAGTTATGGGCAAGGTTAAAGTTGACAACAGACAGACAGACAAACAGACAAACGGACAAACAGACAAACAAACAGACAAACAGACAGACAGGACAAAAACAATATACCCCCGGGATCTTTCGATCCAGGGACATAAAAATTCATTTGAAGCGTGGCTGTATGAAGATAACTTAAGAGACATTTACAATGTGCAGAAAATATATATATACATGAACAGCTTTCTTTTGTTTGACTAACCAATGTGGAAATAAACTCTGGTCTTCGAATCTGAAGCAAGCGTGTTATTGTGAAGACGTCCACTTCCTTATCAAGGGAGATTTGTTGCAAAGCATTGTATACAACGCAAAATGGCCCACAACGTTTTGCACCATCACTGAAATTATTGTGAATAAATTTTCAATTCCGATTTATATCTTTATCAATTACGGATGATAATATATGTACAATTTAGCAATTGCAATGGAGAGTGAAACTTGTTTAAAGTATTTCTTTAAATAATTTATGAACTCATTGCTACCTGGACAAGATCAAAATTTTTGTTTCAGACGGGAGTTCTTCAATTTGTGTTTCTTTGACTACATCTAACAACACCCTATGGTCCAAAGATGACATTGCTTCTTTCCATGCTGTACATTCAAGTACAGTTAATCTTGTGCCACTACTTCCCTGAATCATTATAAATTATTACGTACTCACAGAAAAGTGTTCAGAAATTCAAGAAGTTACAATGCATGCCATTTCGACAACAACATTTAAACAAACCTCTTTAGTCAGTACAATATTCGTTCTTGTAATGTTTATTGCAGATGTAGAATCTATGAATTTTATTGAGAATGGCCCAACTTTTTTCTCTCTCTTATGAAATGGAAACCACAACGCTGACTGAAATGAGTTTAAATGTCCTTTATTAATACATGAATATATTCAGAATACAAATCATTTTTAATTATGTTTGTTACTATAAATAGTTATTCACGTTGAAATGATTTTTATATTGATTTGCAATTATACATCCTTGGATTAATTGTTTTTTTAACATATCAGAGTCATTAAATTTTCTGTTTTATCAGATAATATATTATCTTTAATCTTATTAAGCTAAAATATTTTACCTAATATGCCTACCGATTTTATATCTCTAAGAGGACACATGAAAACTACAGTATGGACGCTGAAGTCCTTCAATAGTCTGAGAAAGTCCTCGGTGTAGTCGGGAAGGGGGAACTGTGCACTGATCAAACTGTCGTTACTTGTGAATGCCTGCAAAAGTTCCATGATTTAATCACTGAGAGTGTTGAAAATGATTACAAAATAATAGTTTCTTTGGATATAATTTTCATTCATGGAAAATGTTATAAAACCTGAAGACAGACTGCGTTATAATATGTCCCTCTATCCTTTACATAGGCAAGACGGCACATGTATTCCTCCACTGAAATTAGAGCAGTTTTTTTTATTTGTTCAACATGTACGGAATATTAAAGATAGAATTCATTGCAGCATAATAGTAAATGTAACATATTAGTTAAAGTTAAAACGACAAACATAAGGTTAATAACTCAAATCGTTAAGTTGATAAACCATGGAATGTAAACAAGAAGCTTGTCCCTACCGGGTAAAACTGATATTGTAAAATTTGCCTCCATATTTGATCGACCAGTATCAAAATCATTAGCTGAAAATTTTCGTTTGATGGCTATCAATTCCTATAGGAAAAACATGATTGTAATTCCTTGAAAATTAAGGATAAATAACACACACACACTCACAAAAACTTTTTTTTTCAGAAATAAGCATTAGATTTATAGACTTATGTTCAACTAGAGTACTTGAATAATATTTACCAGCGTTAATGTAAAATTTTGTAAAATTTTATAACGAGAAAATAATAATCACAAAGTCGCAAATATGAACATTAAAGGATATTACATCTTTATTACATTGCAGGACTTTATCATTTATACCATTGTTATTCAAAATCAGTTCAAAAACATATAACATTCCATGCATTTTTTTCCATGCCTGTTATTTTACATAATATCAACTACTATTCAGATATCGAATAAAAAGAGTCATTTGATAAGCTATTTCATGCTGATTTACGAATACCTTAAAATCGCTGTGAAGCTGTGATTTAGATGTATTTCCGTAGAAAGTTCCCTGATATTCTTGTAAAAACTGATCAGTCGATAAACACTTCCATTTTCCTCGGAAAGACTCATTCAGTGCCAAATAAACAACCTTGTATTGATCCTTAAATGGAATTGTGAACTTATAAATAAAAATAGAAATTTAGAAATAAAAAGATGACGATGTATTAATATTATAAGTTTTATTTTTAAAGAATTAAGCAAAACAGAATGAAATTATGTATATATACTACGGAATGTAAAATAAAACATCTTTTAAAACAAATTCATTCTAAATTTTGTTTCACAATATTGTTGAAAACAAATGGTGATGACTTACATGACCCTGTATCATATTCATACGGTCCTTTCTCATGATTTCAACATATTTTGGTACGTTTATTTTTCCTGATTCCAAGCCTTCTCGATAGAGGGCGTCCAAACCAATATAGGTCCCTGTACGACCAATTCCTGCACTAAAAGCGAAGATTACATAAAACCGTAGAAAACGTGTGTTTGTGTGTGGGTGTGTGAGTGTGTGTGTCTGAGAGAGAGAGAGAGAGAGAGAGAGAGAGAGAGAGAGAGAGAGAGAGATTATACCTACCTGCAATGTACTAGAATGTATTTCCCGCGAGAAAATTCAGAAACCCTTATCACATGTTGATGAAATATAACGATGCTGAGTGGGTCAGGAACTCCATGATCTGGCCATCTTGTGTAATGAAACATCTCTATCATTATTTCTTTCTGACCCTGGAATTATTTTTTTCTAACCTGTATTTTGTTTAAATCATCATAAAAACTTCAAGAAACAACAAACATCTTAAATGCAAAAAATGCAAAAAATTCAAGATTTTCAAATTATATTTAAAGAAAATTCACCTTATTTTTCTTTAGACAAAGAGTTCTTCGGATATAATTGGCATACACTATTTCATTTTGATTCCGAATAATAAATTGACCACTTTTTATCATTTTTCTTGTGTCTGGCCAGTACTGAGCACATTTGATCTAAAACAGCAAAAAATAAATAATAAAAAACAAACAAACAAACAAACAAACAAACAAACAAAACAAAACAAAAATTGGATATTAAGTATAACTAGTTCTAATTGTAACGGGAATATGTTCCCCATATGTTCCCCAAACGGCTCCCCAATCCCTTATGACGCCCCATTCCGTACAAGCTTCATTAAATTAGTCAATACTTTTGTAATAAAGATTGACGCTTTATTTTTAGGGTATTCTATTGGAAAACTACTTCGGTATAAACATATGGGTAATAGCCAATCAAATTTTAGCGCATGTTTTTAAATTTTTCACATAAATTTTCACATAGTGTCTCACAATATATACATTTGTGTTAAATATCAAACAAATTCAATGGAAAATAAAAGAGATATAACCATTAAGTATTAGCCAATCAGAATTCAGGACACGCTCATGCATGATGTTGCATTCAGTTTTGATAGTATCGTAATGTAGGAGCCCAATGTGTTATTCTATATTATAAATGCCATCCTGTTCCAAGGGAGTTGTAGCCATTTAAATTCTCAGCCAATCACATTGCAGCACACCTGCATGCGCGTGTTTTCAAGATACATGTAACGCTAGAATCTTATAATATATACTTGCATGTATATTTTAGATTGAAAAGTATTTTGTCAAAAAACAAGGAAGTTATTGGGATTTTTCTCGCACTTGTATGCGTGGGTTCATGCTTATTTGACCATGTCATCTTGTCTAGACAACTAATGTATCTTTATATTCTGAGTATATCAGTCATTTCACTCATCGCACACGTGCGCACGTGCATGCAAGTGAACGCAAAATGACCTCTGTTTCGCACATCTACACAGCATGCCTATTAACCCTAAAAATGTTTCATCTCAATCAGAGAGTAGTTTCCGAGAACACTCGCGGACAAAAAAGTACCGGAGAAGAAATTTGAAAAAAAGAAAGTAAAAACAAATTTTGTTTGGGGAAAATAATAAAAGTTAGATGTAGATAGTGAAATCTAATATGAATTTAAGTGTAATTTCATGAACCCAATACGTAAATTTACCTTCGTTCCTTCTTTTAAGTTTGTCAAACACACAATGATATCCACCTTTTCTTGCCAAACCATTGACCAAAAGTCAGGCACTGTCGTTGGTTTAGGCCCTGTCAAAATGCAAATTGTTGAATAATTGACGTTGAATTGGCAATCTAGCAGATTTGTGTATATTCATTAGTTATATATATATATATATATATATATATATATATATATATATATATATATATATATATATATATATATATATATATATATATATATAGTGGATATTGATGAAGGACACTACGTTTTGAAACACATTCTTCATTTTTGGTACGCCTACCTTGAGTAGCTATATAAGACTTTTGTCCTTGAAAGTCCTAAATTTGAAAAAAAATAAATGGAATCAAAAAAAGAATAAAGTTTTATGATCTTTCTTCATGATTTTGCATGTGATTGATGGAAAGAAAACCACAACAGATCTCTTTTTTTAAATAATGTAAAACTTTTTTTATAAATATTTTTGTTTATATAATACAATGAATTTAACTCCTCTGTACCTCTATAAAGTTTGCATTGATGTAGTCAGATTCATGTGGTAAACCTGGTTCAAGAACAACTCGGGAGTGGTCATCTGATAATAGAAATTGTTAAATGTCAGTACAATTTATATACCCCCCCCCCCCACAAACACATGTACAGAGAGAGAGAGAGAGAGAGAGAGAGAGAGAGAGAGAGAGAGAGAGAATTAATATTTTGAAAATCACATGACTTACACGGATATGTTGTTTTATATCTGTTTTTGGGTATGTTTTCCGGCGTTTTGGATTCTGAACATGGATGAAGTTCACCTTTTCTTATTTGCTTGAATTGCAAAAAATACGAGGGGTTATCAAAAGGTTCGTGGGCTGTTGCGATAAAATTAATACTATGAAGTCCGTGCTAGCAACATTTATAAGAAACATAAAAGAATAAAAAAAAAATAAGAAGTCTTGAAAATTTTAGTCTGATTCGTTAATAATTTGCCAAATTATTCTAAAATAAAAAAAAAAAAAAACAAACAAACATTATATGATCACCGTTAAGTTTCATGACGTCAGACAACGTCATTGTTTCTCAATGTCCGCTCTCTCTAACTCATACACTTAATATCTTGATGAGATTACCTGGAGTTAAGCAACTAAAGGATTTAAGCCCGTCTTATTTATATGACTTTACAATGCCATGAACAGCTGCTTTCAATGCATATAATATTGTAAATGGATCTATACATAGGGAAAGATCCTCACTTGAGTAGGCCAGAATACTTTCAGTTAGGTTGTTGGAGTTCAATTTCACACAATGATCAACGTCACTTTTCGACGTGACTTTTGACACCCTGACTACAAATTGAAATCTATCGTCTCTCTGAATCTTTTTTTTTTGGCATTTAAACACATGTGCTCTGGATGCATTTTATTTTTCTGTAGCCTGTTTAAACATTCCTTAGGTCTAAACCAGTTTTTCCAGGAGCGAAACTTTATAGAATGTTGGAAAAGGAAAACCCTCCCCTTTTTTCACGTAATTTTCAAGCCCATTATTGTTTGGACACTCCATATAAAATTTACGATAAAATTTCATAGAACTTACAAAATGGGGTAAAAATTGCAAATTTTGCGAACAAATGTGCCGTACAACATGCCTGAATTAACGGAATTTTTTGATGACAAATGCTCATATCAAAAGAGTTTTTCTCAGTTACACTATGGTGTCCGGATAGGGCCAATTGCAAAAGCTCAACAGCGCGTTCAGAAAAACACGCCATCGCGCTAACACACAACACGCCATCACGCTAACACAATTATACAAAACACGTCATCGCGCTTATACGCAACACGCCATCGCGCTAGCACGCTTTCAAACAACACGCTGTTGCGCTAACGCAACTTTACACAACACGCTGTCGCGCTGTCACACAACTCGCTAACACAACTTTGTGATAGTGCGATGGCGGGTTGTGTGTTAGCGCGAAGGTGTGTTGTGTGTTAGCGCGACGGCGTGTTGTGTGAACTTGTGTTAGCGTGATGGCGTGTTGTTCAATGATGTGTTAGCGCGATGGCGTGTTGTGTATTAGCGTGACGGCGTGTTGTGTGTTAGCGCGACGGCGTGTTTTTTTTTGTTTTTTTGTTTTTGTTTTTGAAGGCGCTGTTGAACTTTTGCAAATGGCCCTATCCGGACACCATAATTACACTCTGGTAGAAAAAAAAACGTCATATTTGAGGTTGCGCCGCCTGGACAAACCATCGCTTACTAAAACATTAACAATTTATTTAAAAATATAACTTATAATTAATGGTTTATTCTATTGATAGAAAAGATGATGCTAACTAAAGGTGTAAAAATCCATTGATGTTCCTAAAGCGGTTTTAATATTTATGGCGCTAGTCCACGAACTTTTTGATAACTCCTCGTAATTGAATTATACTTTAAGATAGATTAATTTAGCTATTTCATTACAAATGTCAGACCAGAATAAAAGTTTACATCTTATGCAAAAAGAAGAAAAAAAAGATCAATACCTTATATTCATTTTTGAATGCAACGTCATCGTCTTGTGCCATTTTCTGTATAGTGTTTTCCAAATCTTTAATAGATGTTGTTTTGTTTGAACGCGTTAAACCACCTCGTAGGTCATTTGCATACCCAGGATCTGTAAGGAATGGTGTTGCTGGAACATTGTCACTAGTTTGTTCAACTGGTTCAGGTCCTAGAATTGTTGGCGTAATATTCAATTCTCGTATTAAGTGTTTTTGACTGACTGATAAGATTTTTTTTTTTATAAATGGTGAAAACTCTTTGTGTTACTTTGTGTTTAATATCTTTAATACTTTACACTTTTCAATATACAATATCATACAGTTTATTTAGTTCCATCAAAATATATTCTGCTATGATGTTCAATCATTTGATCTCAGTATCTATTACCTTCTGACTGCCTATTTCTACGTATTGTGTTCTTTGCTACTACAAATAATCAAGATGTAAACATACGGCGTATTGGCGGCTTTATCCTGCTGTCTGTCGTTTGAAGCGCTGTCATTTCTTCGTTTTCGATCAAACTTTCTTTTTTCAATTTTTTTCTAAAACTGTATGCAAGCACAATGTATGACACTAAATTCACTATGTTTTATACTGGCATATTAAAAAAAGTATTTTCCTAACTTATCATAAAAGAATTGAATCAGTCTAGGGTCAAAGAATTTGTAAAGTTTCAAGATTTGCCCGATTGATGGCATATTATTTTATGGCGTTGAAACAGCTTATAAAATATTGAAAGCTCCAATCGGACAGGCAGATTTCCAAACTAATATATGGACGCCATGGCTTGCGGAGGGGGGGGGGGGTGGACGGGTGGTGGATTGGTGATTTTTTTTTACGCAATTTCCTTCAAATACACTATTCCTTGCCATTTTACGAGGGGTTCATTTTTCGGGGAGATTTATTCGTTACTTTACGTACTTTAACAAATTAGAAAATCCCAGGGGTCCTCCCTCCGGGAAATCTGTGCATGAGGCAATGTGATTTATTCTTGTCTTGATGGCAAATCTCTTAAACAAACACTTTCTATTAAACATTCTTTAAATCAGCAAGCTTAATTTTCCTTTCGGACCATTTAAAAAATGTCTATAATTCACTTAGCATTGCATACATGAGGCTATATTATAAATATTATAATAATTGATAAAAATAGGTAAACCAACCGAAGGAAGAGAATCGCTGACAGAAGAAGAATGATGAAGAGTATGCTTGTACCCAATGACACTCCAACGGTTAATGTGTTCTCCTCATTCTTAAGTTCTCCATTGCTTTTTATATCTTTAGTCGGTTCTTTGAAGGACAAAATGATTTTCATAAAACAATGAAATATGTTTTACTTATGTAAATAAAATTAAAAAAAAAGAAAAGAAAAAAAGAAGCTGTTTGACAAAAAATTTTGGAAACTTGCTTTAATAGTGAGATGTACTGGTTTATATTACAAATAGGTTGTTCAGTATCTCATTATCCAAGCCCAATTCTTCGAGAGAGAGAGAGAGAGAGAGAGAGAGAGAGAGAGAGAGAGAGAGAGAGATTTCATTTTAGAATATTTGTAACTTAATTTTTTATGGATATAAAACGTCAGACATGTATATAAAAGAGAAAAGTACGGTTTCAATACAAATCAATTAAATATGATATTGTTATGGGGAAAATAAAAGTCATGCTTTCTGAATTGTTCAAATTTTCAGAACTGCCTTCCTTTATGCGATATTCTTTCCTGATTTATCACATTCATATATTTAATTCATATTTTATCAAATTTCAAAAAGTTCTAAAAACATTAAATTTGTAGGGCATTATAAAACACACCTTACCTACTTCTTTCAAAGTCCATATTTTTCATAGATTAAACTGGTCTTATATATACTGGTTATGCATACATGTATATTGTACATTTGTATACAGTGGCAGATTTGTGTTTTAAAAAATCCTTCTTTTTTTATTTTTTTTTTTGCTGTCTGTGTTCTCGATATATACCAAAAATATCAGAAATACGAAGTAAATTACTTACCTTCTCTGCAATAATAATCACTTGACAATCCAGGAAAACAGTAACACATTCCAGTGATATGATTACAAATCCCAGTGCAGTTTTCGGAACACTTATACGAACAATTTTTTCCAAAGTACCCATCCACACAAGCTAGCGTAAATTTAATATAATTGTATTCTGTTGTAGAAAATATAGATACAGGCAAAAACAACAACAACAACAACAACAACAACAACAACAACAAAAGAAAGAAAGAAAAAAGAAAAAAAGAAAAATTTAACAATATAAATTTAAACCTTGTGTATGTGTTTGTGAGGGTGTGTGTGTGTGTGTGTGTGTGTGATTGTCCAATAATACATGTAACACAGTTATTATTGACTTGATCATATTAGAGCCAGCATTTTTTTTTTTATAAAATGATTTACGGTAGCGCCGACTGCAATTTTAGCTAAAACCAAATGAAAATAAAAGTCCCTGTTGTTGATTTTATTTTTAAATTTCCCGCCGATCGTAAATGCAAGCGCACTAAGAAAATAAAATAATGTGCAAATAAGTCGGCAATTCTGATTGGCTGCTTTATTGAAAGCCATTATTATCATCCAATCAATTGACGTTTGTTATCAACTGTTTCGGAAGTGTATAAAACGTGCCAACATGGATGCAAAAATGTCAAATTTTACAAAAGTTGAGAATACTTTGTCCTTATACACGATAGTTTTTCCAGGTCAATCATAGCTAACAGGAAAATCAATTAGAGTATGTCCGATGACAAAGTTAAGTTGGAGTTAAAAAGAAATTAAAGAAATGATCAG